CACCATTCTCTGTGCCAGTCAGGAGCAGGTAAGTTATGCTACAGTAACGAGTAGTTCTGAAAGCTTCAAATACCACATGTTTAATTCTCAGTACCTTGAGGTTTGGCAGGAGACTCTGCTCTGTGGCATGATCACCCTCATCCCAGCACCCAGATGGACAGAGCAGCCTATCTCTGGAACACTGGCAGTCGCCATGCCAAAGGGAAGGCATACCTCCTGGAAGGTCTTGTGACAATTAAATACTTGGCCCAGAAATGACACACAACAGTTCTGCTCTTAGCTAGTCACATGCACCATGCTACCCACAGGAAACCGGGTGCAGACCCATGATGTCGTCAGAAGATGAGCTATCCAGTGACGCATTCATGGTTTCCACAAAACCTGTGGCTGTGACTTGAGAGGCTATCGAGAAACCTGGCAAAGAGTTGGATGTTGAATTAACATGGAGATAGAAAATAAAGTGAACAGAAAAGCATTCCAAAGAGAACAAAAGGGAAATCTACTGTCATTGACCACTTGGCTCAGTTGCCAGAATCCAGGACCTGCCTATTACTGGAGCTTAGTTTACCTTAGCTAGGATGAAAGGGAAAAGTGGTGGAGGGGATGAAAGTAAACAACAGAAGAAGGTGTATGAAGAGAGGGTTTGGTGCCAGGTGGAACCAGGTCTGTGCTTTATTCTACAGTCTTCTTCTCTAGGGTTGGCTCCCTGGTGGCAGCCAGGCTGTGGGGTGCCAGCTCAGGGCATCATCCTTCCTCCATCCCAGGGCAGCTGCTGTCGGTAAATCCTGCATCTGCTCAAGGGCTATGGCTGAGGGTGGCTGGGGTTTATCCAGGACCACCTCATGAAGTCCTTATGCTCAGAGCTCCCCACACCTGGTTTTACATGTCTCCTGACTTACTTCCAATATCATAAAGAATCATTAGTTCTAAAGAAGACTCAGTGACAGAGCACATGCTTAACATGCATGAGGTCCTGAGTTCCATCCCCAGTATCTCCATTAAAAAAAAAACAAAAAAAAAAAAGACTTTGGCCCCGGAACTTTGGCAGCCCTCAAGTCTAGCCATTTCAGAATTGGATGGTTGGGTGGGGAACTTCTGATCAAAACCTTCATCACAGCCACTGATGGCTTGACCTCCTAAGAGAACAAGGCATTCTCTGTTGTAGGATATGGTAGAGGGGTGGTTGAAGTGGGTAGAAGACTGTATTCATGTTCCGTCTCCCAGGAACACTGGAGTGCCAAAAAACTCATCAGATCTCAAACGATGAAAGCCAGCTTTGCATCTGGTACATGTTTACATGGGGGAAAGATTAAAACCAGAAAGGCTTCTGAGACCCAGTCCTCAAAAGACCGAAGAGATATTTACAGGGTCGGCAACAAATGTAGGAGGAAAGCACTTTAAAATGATGGATGGTTCCTTCCAAGCATGCTGGAGCAGATGGCTCCCACTTCTAGACACCACAACTGACCTGGGATCCCGCCCTCCTTCATGATGATCTGGGAGGGTCTCCAGTCTCACCAGTAACTGTTCTTTGGTGCATCCCCTTTCCCAACTTTAAACCCTGGTTGTCTGCCATCGGTAACTTGTCACCCCCTGCCTGGTGGCTGCTCTGGGTCCAATGCTACATCTCACCCTTTCGAGTTGACTCTGAGATTCCTCCCCAGCACTGGTCAATGATAGTTTCAACCTCTGGGACCACTGCAGAGCTCCCCTGATACGTTGACACACATGGGAGATTCACCAAGGAAGGTGCCATTCCTTCCCACTCTACAGGTGAGAGAATCAAGCCCCCATCAGGGCAAGAGACTTCCCCAAGGCCACACCTAGCAAGAGCCCGAGTCCTTTGGCCTCACAATGGTCCCCCATCCCCAGCCTTGGGGCAGCCAGCTAATTAAGTGGGGATTTATCAGATCAATTAAACAAGAGCCAGTTTAGTCCATTCTGGGCTCTCCAGGGAATCCTGTCTAATGAGGATTCCCGTTAATGGGATTGGGCGGATTTGCTGTGAACAATGAAGGATAAAATTCTCTTTAATTCTTGGCTGTTTGCACGTAGGATTCCGTGAAGAATTGAAGGATGGACAGGATGCAGGGGAAGCACTCTTCTTTTTGGTTAGTGCTGAAGGGAGTGCCAGCCAGGATTACTTAGGTATCATAAGATCCCAGAAATTGGGTCTAGGTCAGGCCAGTCACAGTCAGGTGAGTTCTCCAGTGTGGGCGCCCAAGGTCTGTTGTCACCTTCCAGATTCATCCATATATTCACTTGGTTTTCTGGGCTTTGAGCTTCCTATGTAGGGCAGTCCGTTGAGACAGTCAGTAGCTATTAGACCTGATTCTATAGTGAAACTAGTTGATTTACAATATTTTCCAAAGGTAGTAGGAGTTGGGTCTTTCTACTCTGAGGCTCTTTGAACTGGAACTTTCTGACCTAGGATTTGGGACTTGGTATGAAACTTCTCTCAGATGTAAAGCGGAGAACTGTACAACCAGGACTATTGATATTCCGGGGGAGGGAGGATGTTTATGCCCAGGAAAAGGCCAGAAGTTGAAAATAATTTGTTTTAATCACACTCCAGCTAACCTGAGAGCCACCCGGAGGCTGTCATCCCCCATCAGAAGTCATTTCCCAAGAGCCCAGAAATATTTCTCACTGGAAATGGCTGACAAAGTCCCTTTGAGGGGTCTGTGTTGGATCTGGCGGGTCGCTACGAGGCAGGCCCTCCAAAGGCTCCACTCCAAGGGGGCAAGGATGCCCCCTGGCTGTGGGCCAGCCCTGGGCTCAGTCACTGGAGTGTGCTCCAGTGCCTTGGGGTGAGCTGCCACTCAGGAAACAGGTCCTCAGTGGATGGGGACACATTCTATTGTGTCCCTGAAGTCTCCCCTTAAAGACCTTTCTCTCCCCACGTGTCGTGATGCAGCATTAACTCCTGGACTGAGAGGACCCAACTCAGAGACTGTGGTCCAGACTCCTGGACTGGCTGCTAATGCTAAAGGAGCCAGGCTCATCTGAACCATCCAGGGATGCACACATTTCTACCTACAGCAGCTTCACTACGTGCCCGTGACACATGAAGAGGTCTAGGCAGTGCAGGGGCTGCTCAGGGAGGCCTGCAGTGCCATCTGGGAGGGATAGTGGGGTGGGGGTAGAGTCCCCCGAGCCTCAGCTCAGCTCAGGGCCAGCTCAGGGCACAGGCAGCCTGAAGGGGAGCCCACTCTCAAGGCAGAAATTGTTGCAATACCGCAAGGCAGTGTGAAATACTTTTGCAATATTGTTGCAGTTTTTTAAATGGCCGCAGAGGTTTTGACACCACTCCCTTGGACTCTGGGCAGCTCAAGACCGCTTCAAGCCACAGAGCAGAGTGGAAGGGGAGCTGTGTGACCTTCATCCTAAAAGGTGGCATCCCCCGGCTGTCCTGCAGTACACCTCTCCCCAGGGAAGAAGTCCATCTGCCCTGAGCTGGAAGCCAGCGTGGGAGTGAGGGAGGGTCTCGGCCTCAGGTCCTCAGGTCCTCCCACCTCTGGACCTCCCAGCGAAGGCCCAAATACCAGAGCAGCAGAAAAAAGCCATCCCTTCCGGGCCCCCGTCCATGTTCTTGACTTAACAGAGGCTATGGTTCTTACTCTAGGCTATCACATTCAGGGTTATTTGTTACGGAGGAATAGTAACTGAAATAAACATAGCTCCTGTAAACCAAAAACTGACTGACCTAGTGCTCGATCAAAGAAAAGGGGTCTCTTTCAAACCTGGGGAGGCAAAAACCAAGATGGTGGGATTTGATCTGAGGTCCAGTCGCCACACATGAGCTGAGGGTTTTAAGGGACTTGACCTATTCTGTGTTTGACTTATGGACGGACTTGAGACTCCCCTCACGGCTCAGGGAGAGACCCTCAGCAGCAAGCTCTCTCTCGATGGTGTTGTGACCTGGAAGGCCAGACTGCCCAGGACACTCTCCAACTCAGGACTGACAGTGGGGAGGGAGAAATACCATGAACACTCTTTACGCAGGTTTACCAATTGCTGAGTTTTTGCCATGTTTCATTTTCTTTCTCCCTCCGTGGATCTTTCTGTATCTCTTTTCCCCTGAATCCTCTGACACCTCACTCCCTGATGTTTCCAGAGATGAGGACTTGCTCCTTGAGAAGCCACAGCACCATTATTGCACTTAAGAATATCACCATTTATTGATGACCATCACAGAATATGCAAAAAAAATTGAATATTTATTTATTTATTTATTTTACAATAGCTTTCAAACCCTTTTCTAGAAACCCCCCCCCCAAAAAAAAACCAAAAATACTCTTCTTTATCAACTAGACTGAGATGGCTGTCCCCAGAATGCCACAGGCCCACCCAAATGACCCGTAACTTCAATCTTTCTATAGAGCCTGCCCACATTGGTGCAGAGACAGTGAGGGCATCAACAGGGACCAGGATGTCTCCTTGTCCCGCTGTCATCCTCATCTGGCCCTAAAGGGATGGACTTGAGCCCCAACAAAGGTACTGTTTGTGTTCCTGCCTTTAAGCTGTTTGGCCTCAAGGCCATAACCCGGGACCTCACCCTCAGCTATCTCAACCCCGAGGGCTGCCCTCGGGTGCTCAGCCATCAGTAGTCTTGTCCCCACCTTGTCACCATCTCATCCCTTCTTATGAATGCAGAAAAGAACCCCTTCCTTCCCTTGAACTGCCCTCCAAGGTAAAGGGATTAGGTCTGGAGGAAATCAATGATCACTAGCCAACAGTCTACATTCCTCCACTCACAGTGGACACCAAGCATTCTTATCTGGTCCCTGCCACGGCCCCATGGTTTGGACTGAATATTTGTGTCCCCTTCAAATCTCATGTTGGAGTTCTAGCCTCCAACGTGGTAGGAGATGGGAGGTAATCAGATTTAAATGAGGTTATGAGTGAGGCCCCTCACTATGGGATTAGTGCCCTTATAAGACAAGGAAGAGACACAGAGAGCTCTCTCTCGATTTATTTTTATTATTATTATTTTTTAATGGAGGTACTGGGGATTGAACCCAGGACCTTGTGCAATCTAAGCACACCCTCTACCACTAAGCTATACCCTCCCTGCCAAGAGATCTCTCTCTCTCCCCCTCTCTCTCATCAGTGTATAAGGGCACAGCAAAAAGGAACTGTCTGCCAGCCAGGACGAGCATGCTCCCCAGATGTTGAATCTGTCAGCACCTTGATCTTGGACTCCCAACCTCTGGAACTTTGAGAGACGAATGTCTGTTGTCTGAGTCACCAGTCTGCAGTTATTTTGTGACAGAAGCTGGAGCTGACTGAGACACCCTGTGATGCAGGAATCACTTTCCCATGGCACAGGGGGAAGCCAGCTCTGAGAGGCATACGAACTACACTAAGTTAAACCCAGGACCTAGGTTGGAGACCTGTTTGGAAATGCTTTGAGTTGATCAGTTAGAAATGCTTGAGTTGCAAGTGACAGAACCCAGCCAACAGTCACTTCAGTGCATAGGGGTCTCTCTTGAAAAGATGACAGGAGGTCAGCCTTCCCAGGGCTGGAGGAGTGTCTTGGGGAGACCAAGGTGGGGCCCAGCACCTTCTCCCTGCGCCTTTGCCATCCTTACAGTTTTGCCATTCTGCTCCCGAGATGCTGGCCACAGCTCCAGGTCTACAGCTAGGGCTAGAAGCTGGGCAGTGGGAGCAATGGGAGAAAGTCGAAGCACGTGGCCTATACCCTCGGTGAGAAGCCCGCCAGCCGCTGGCATACTGAGGAAGCAACCCTCTGGCTTCCCAGCCGTTATGGTGAGAGACAGCCCGGGACAGGGGTTCCACACATCCCGTGTTGTTGGGTACCCCCAACACCTCTTACAGGCCCTCCTGTCTGATTCAGGGTGTTTGCCCACTTGGGTCAGTTGGGGAATTCATTCAAATTCCCAGTGCCTCTGGAAGGTTTCATTGGATTCCTAGCCAATGCGCATGCTCTGGTGGGGGTTGTTTATTTTCCTTGTGGGGAGGGGCAGAGGATGGAGTGCTTCTAATTCCATGCCTCCAGCCTGCCTCTGAGATGTTCCAGGGTTTCCGTGGTGAGGGTTGCTGGCCTATTTGTTGGAAGGATTTTCAAGTTCATTGGGAGCTTGATCAAGGCGGCTGTTACCCCACAGAGCCTCTTGGAGGGTAGGACAGGGGTTCCCTAGAGCTCTAGAGAGCCTGCCCTCTGGTCCTTCTCCCTCCAGCTAGGCATCAAGGCTCCAGCTTGTCCTGCTGAGATAAATGGTGCTACCCAGGCTCACGCTAAACTTGGCAGCCCTAGCAAGGGCTCAGTTCCAGTGAACGGGCTTCCAAAAATACTGCCCTTGCGCTGTGACACTGAGGCTTGGGGTGAACAGGCCCCTCCCACTGCTCCCAGCCAGCCAGCCCTCTCCCCTGCAGGCCCAGCTGATCTGCAGCTTCTCCTCGAAGCTTACCCGCATACCCCCTTTCTTGCCTCTGCTCCTCTCTGGCCCCCATTCCTCCCCCTGAGGCCTGGACTCAGCCCTGACTTCCCTGGCTGATGGGCATCACCAGTCAGCTGTGCTGGCGTCAGGCTTTCACGGCAGGGTGCGGGGAGGAGGGGTGCTGGGGTGGGTGGGAATTACTGGCCTTGCACCATGGGTTCCTCCAGCTGTCCCTTTCTTCTGAGCCACCGAGGATCACAGGCATCTTCGACTTTCCTTGGGCTTCTGGTCAGTTTTGGACTAGGGGGAGCCCCAGGTAGAAATCATGGCGGGGAGGGGGGCCTGGGGTCCCTGCAGACTGGCCACGTCCCTTAGGAGCAGGCCATGGCTTTTCGGGAACCCCTTTCCACTCAGCTGTTTCCTGGTTCCAGGCGCCTCTCACCTGCCCCATGAGGACCCTGGCGGTAGCAGACCCCTCACTTGGCTCTCACTACCCTGAAGGGATGCTCTGCCCCTGTGGTTTCCCTGCCCTTGCTCACAGCTTAGTCAAAGACACAAGCTTTCCCCTCTGGGCATGTGGGTGCGTTTGCGTCTGTGGCCAGCCCAACTCAGCCCAACTCTCCCCACTTCAGGTTAGCTGGAGACACAGAGTTAGACATTCTCCCAAAGGCCAGAGGAGCTGCAGTGTTCTTTGGAACACAGTTGTGAAGTGAGTCTAGTTCCACAAGTTTGGGCTGATTGCAGGCACTAAGGTGTGACTTCTGGGCTAAGTACTGAAGGTCCCAAAACTCAGAAGCTCAGAGCCAGGACAGGAGACCCTGAGCAGAGAGAAGGCAGCCAGCCTCTGGGGAGCTGGGAGAAGCTTCTGGGGAAGGCGAGATGCGTGCAGGGACTGGGTGGGTTGCCAGGTTTGAGGGTCCACCAAGGACAGAAGGGTATTCGGGTACAATGGCAAGGCAGCCCCTGCCCAGCAAGGTGTGCTCAGGGCTGGGAAGTTCCGCCCAGCCAGAGAACGGTGCTCTGGGAGGCAGATGACACCTGCTGATGGCAGGGCCCCAGGGATCTTGGCAAGGGCAGAGGGTCATGTGCTGGGGGTGTCCCTGATGTGGGCAGGCTCCCAGGGGCCCCCGGGGCTCCCATGAGGGGAGTTCACATGCTAGCCCAGGCTGCTGGATGCCCTGGGGTGGGGGAGTTGGGGAGAGCAGGAGATGTTCAGAAAGGAAAGGGTGGAGGCTCATGGGCAGCTGAGAGGAGCACAGCTGAAGAGCTGCTGTATGACACTGGGCTGGCTGGTGAACCTCTCTGAGCCTGCTACCACCGCTAAAAGACTGTTTTGAGTAGAGCATCAAAAACTGCGATGCTCCAGCCTGAGTAGGACGCCCACCATGTAGCAGATGTGCGTCCCCGGGCAGTTTTCTCTCCTCCTTCAAATCCAGGGTCACCGTTGATCACCAGGTGACTTGGAGACCTCATTTCATAGGGCAATGTCAGGCCCCTCTTCCGGCCCTGCTCCAGGTGAGACCCTGGGCCTCCAGATCTGACTGTGGCCATGGCCCTAGCAAGGCTGGTGTTTGCACTATGGAGCCTGAAGGCCCCTGGGTGGCGGCACGGAGAGCAGAGGCTGGCAGCTGCCGCCAGCCCCACAATGTGGCTTTTGTCAGCCAGAGTGGCGGTGGCACGCAGGACGACCTGTGCGAGGGGGGACAGGCCTCCAGGCTGGCCAGAGAGTTGCCTCCAGCTCTCAACAAAGCTGCCTGGTGGCTGTGAGGCTTGGAGCCCCACTTTTGTGATGCAAATCCAGCAGGGGTTCCCTGCACGCTCTCCTCTGCTGCCCAAAAGCACTTTGTGATGCAGATGAAACGAGGCCTTTTGCATCCGCCCTGCGTTCTCCATCCCACGCTGACTCCACCTGTCGCCACCATCCTCCCCAGCCAGGCTTAAGACGACAGCCCCGCATCAGGCCGGCCTGGGACCTGGCTCTTAGGGAAATCTTAGTTCAGCCTGGAGGTGGCAGAACCAGAGAAAAGAAGTGGACGCAGGAGGGAAATCACACCTCAGTGCCTGCAATCAGCCCAAACTCGTGAAACTAGACTCACTTCACAACTGTATTCCAAAGGAGAACACTGCAGCTCCTCTGGCCTTTGGGAGAACGTCTAACTCTGTGTCTCCAACTAACCAGCTGGGAAGAATGAGGCTCCTAGGAGCAGGCGGTGCTCCGGCTAAGCAGGCCAGGCGGGGGACAGTGTCTGAGGTGAACGGCCTCGTAGGCAGAGGTCCTGCAAGCGCCAAGGCCCCGATGTGGCCTGGCCAGTTCCAGGAAGAGACTGGCTTGTGGGAGAAGGGCCCATTCCTGGACTCCTGGGCTTGCACACCCAAAGAGAAGGCCTGAACCCCAGACCAACACAATCAGGTGCCCGTCCGACCCCTCCGCACACTTGGCAAATTTCAGTTTCTCCGAGCCTCTGTTTCCTTGTCTATAAAATAAGGATAGGAATAGCCTCTATCCGAGGGTTGTGGCGAAATGAAATTAGAGAATCCAAACAAAATACTGAGTTCAGTGCCCAGCCACTGCATGCCTGATAACGTGGACAGAAATTTGACGGTACTTACCAAACTTAGAAATGCGTGGGCTCATTTCCCTATAATGCCACTTCTAAGAGTTTATCCTACAAATGCCCTCACATGTACAAAGTGACACACGTTCAAGGTTATTCTTCGCAGATTTGTTTGTAGCAGACAGAGATTGGAAGCAACCCAGCTGTCCATCTACAGGGGTTGGTTTCGTGGATTCAGGTCTGTCCTTTTGAGCTAAAACAAGAATGAGGTTGTGTGTGTGTCCTGGTACAGGGGACCTGGCTGCACCCTGCAAGCAGTCAGTGCCCCATGAGAAGAATGGAGCCCAGCATCACAGGGGCCTGGGGGCCACTGGCCCAGAGACGGGGGAGGGGGATGCCAGGAAGGGTGGCATGCGGGACCAGGGTAGTGGACACACACACCTGAAGGAAAAGTGTCTCTCTTGCAGAAACTGTCTTGGGGCAAAGTGGTGCACGCAGCCCCGCAGTGATGGAATA